AGTCTTGCTCTGTTGCCCAGGCTGGAGTCCAGTGGCGTGATCCCAGCTCACTGCAACCTCCGCCTCCCGGGTTCAAGTGATTCTTCTGCCTCAGCCTCCTGAGTAGCTGGGATTACAAGTGTGCACCATCAAGCCTGGCTAATTTTTTAATAGAGATGGAATCTTACCATGTTGGTCAAGCTGGTCTCAAACTCTTGACCTTGTGACCCACCCTCCCTGGCCTTCCAAAGTGCTGGAATTACAGGCGTGAGCCCCGCGCCCAGCCTCATCCAAGATTTTAAGAAAGCAAGTCATCTAATCTGGCTGGGGGGAGGTGGGCATGGAGGAGGGCTGTGGCTTAGCTCACTTGGAACCCTAGGGCTAGAGTTTCAGCAGTTGGGGGTTTCTGTCTTGGGCCTGCTGACCAACGACTTGGCAGTTTCACATAGAGCAGGGCTGTGATTTCCTGGACGAAGTACCTCTGGGAAGGCTCGGAAACCCCCTGCCTGGCTGGGGAAGGTCCCTGTGCTGAATCACAGGTGTACCACTAGGGAGTCACTGAATTATTTTAGTAATTTTTAGAAAACATGGAAAACCCAGCCTAGCTTTTTGTGGGTGGTTCTACCCACGTGGGCCTCTGCACTCTGATTCCAGGCGCTTGTTCTGTATCCTGACCTTTTTATTGAGCAGTTTTGGTTGAGTTCAGTCATTTTCTGGCTGGACAAGGCCGGGCAGAGGTTGTCAGCATGGACTCTCAGCAGGGAGATGGGCACTTCACTGCACAGGGTTGGCTGCAGGGCATGCTGGGAAAAGAGTGGGAGGACACAGGCAGGGAGGGGGCACAAGAGCAGAGAGAGGGGTCACGGGTGAAGGATCACTCTTAAGATGATCCAGGCTAAACCAGTGTGGGGCACCTCTTTCTTGTCTGTCTGCAGGTCAGCTCTGAGATTCAGCAGAGTTGCCTCAAAAATGTCAGCAGTGGCCGGGCGCAGTGGCTCACGCCTGTAATCCTAGCACTTTGGGAGGCCAAGGCAGGTGGATTACCTGAGGTCAGGAGTTCAAGACCCGCCTGGCCAACATGGTGAAATCCCATCTCTACTAAAAATACAAAAATTAGCCAGGTGTGGTGGCATGTGCCTGTAGTCCCAGCTACTCAGGAAGCTGACTGAGGAGAATCGCTTGAATCTGGGAGGCGGAGGTGGCAGTGAGCTGAGATTGTGCCACTGTACTCCAGCCTGGGCAACAGAGCAAGAATAGAAAGGCCCTCATGGGCTCTGATGATGATTTGGGGAAAGACCTCAAAAAAAAAAAAAAAAAGTCAGCAGTAACTGCACTCTGTATCTGGGATTCTCTGACTGTTAGCACACAAGGTAAGGAGAAGCAGGTGGGTGGGACATAGAAATTGGGTCACTGACCTGGTAGCTAAGTGCAATAAGAGTAAAGTCCTATATGGTACTTCCTACATGCCAGACACTGTTCTAAGCACTTTACAGAAATGCATCCATTTCGCAGATGAGAAAACTGAGGCACAGAATATTTTGTCCAAGGTCACACAACTAATATCAGAGCTGCTAGGATGCAAGTCCAGGCAGTCTGGCTCCAAGCCCAAACTAGGTGGAAAAGGCTCTGAACCTACCTGGAGCTCTGGCCCCTTCCCAGGGTCTTGGACACAAATGCAGTGCCTCCCCTCCCCAGACCAGGAAGAGAACAGAGGCAGGAGCTGCACACTCACCCTTTTTGGTAGCCTCAAAGCTGTCATGGAAGTGAATCCTCTGTATGTCATAGGTCAAGGTTGTGTTGGGCAGCAGAGTCCTGTTCCTGTTGATGATGTTGGCAGAAAATCGAAAGGCATGCTCCTCGGCATTCATGACCTGGGCGTTGGGGCCGTCCGCATACTCGAAGATTCCTCCTGTGAAAGATGGGTAAAATAGTGTGTGATTGGGAGGAGGGATGGGGCTCTAGCAAGTATGCTTGGCTCAGAAGTTTTTATAGACAAGCTGCCCGCTCCCTGAAATGTTCAATAATATCCTAGGTAATTGCCATACCTAGAAAGTGTGCAGGAGCACAAGAAATATGAAAATCCTCCTCGTTCATTTCACTCAACCAGCAAATTCCTGATAACAGAGCCCGACAAGGCCAAAACAAGATTACCAACTTATTAATATTGCCGTGAAAATTCTCACTAGAATTCTGGCAAGCAGAATCTACCAGAATATTATCAAGATAATATACCATGACCACGCAGAATTTTATTCTATGAATCTAAGACTGGTTCAATATAAAGAAATCTGTGAACATCATTCCATCACATCAATAGTTCAAACAAGAAAAAAATATATAATCAACTCACAAAATGCAAGAAAGCATTTGATAAAATCCAATATCTATTGCTGTTAAGAATGCTTAATAAAATAGCTCCAGAGAGATACTTCCTTGAAGCATCTTTTGCCTTAATCAGCCTTTAATATCATACTAATGGTGAAAAACTAGAGGCATTCTCATTAAAGAAAAACAAGAGGCATGAGGGAGGATTCACACCATGCTATTAACCAGCGAAATAAGAAAGAAAAATAATTTAGAAGCACAACATTTGGAAAGAAATAAATTCTTATTTGCAAGTGATATAAAAAGCCTTAAAATAATCCCTAAACATGAAAACAAGTAAGAGCTAGTAGGCAAGTTAAATGACCAGTTAGTACAAATTGATAGTGTTTCTTCATATCAGTGACAATCAGTAAAAAAACTTAATAGCAAATGATTTCCTTTTACAATATCAGCAAAAATATTAAATAAGTAATAATAAACCAAATAAGAAGTGTGCAATTCCAGTTTTATTTATTTATTTATTTTTTTGAGACGGAGTTTCCCTCTTGCTGCCCAGGGTAGAGTGCAATGGCGCGATCTCGGCTCACCACAGCCTCTGCTTCATGGGTTCAAGCGATTCTCCAGCCTCAGTCTCCCAAGTAGCTGGGACTACAGGCACTCGCCACTATGACAGGCAAAGTTTTGTATTTTTAGTAGAGATGGGGTTTCACCATGTTGGCCAGGCTAGTCTCGAACTCCTGACCTCAAGTGATCCACCTGCCTTGGCCTCCCAAAGTGCTGGGATTACAGGTGTGAGCCACTGCACCTGGCTGCAATTCCAGTTTTGAAACATGACAAAAGCAGACCAGGAGCAGTGGCTCATGCCTGTAATCCCAACACTTCCGGAGGCCAAGGCAGGAAGATCACGATTGAAGCCAGTTCAAGACCAGCTTGGGCAACATAGTGACATATTGTCTTTACAAAAATAAAAACAAACAAACAAAAAACACCTTTAGTGGGAGATATAAACATAGCCTTAAATGAAGATGCATGGTGTTTTTCTGAATAGTAAAGTTCAAGTGTAGAGGTATCAATTTTTCCAAATTAATTTTTCAGTTTAATTCAATTCCAATCAGAATCATGAAAGGATTTTTCTTTTCCTGATAAAATGACTTTAAAATGTATCTGGAAGACTAAACATGAGCTAATGACCAAAACATGTTTTAAAGAGAATGATGAGAGGTGACTCATACTGCCAGATTTTAAAATATATAATTAAGCCAAATAATTAAAATCATGTTGTAATAGCATGTGAAAACACAGACAGATCAAAGAAACAGGATGAAAAGCTCCCATAAAGAGACTCAAGTAAAGATAAGCATCCAAAACATGAGAAAGATGGCTATTTCCAATCAGTAAGTAAATGAATTATTCATTAACTGTGCTATGACAATTATTCAATTATTTGGAAGAAATTGAAGTTAGAATTCAATCTTAATCTATACATAAAATTTTTTTTTATCTGGAAAAAAATTCCAGATAAATTAAAGGTTAATGGAAAATGGATCAGGGGAGGAGCAGAGAAAATACTATAAAAGCACCAAAAAAGAAAATATAGGTGAATATTATACAATATTGGGTAGAGGAGGCCTTTGTAAGCCTTTCAAAAAAGTCAGAAACCATAGAAGAAAGATTGATAACTCCACAAAAATAACATAAAACGTCTTCCCACCGAAAGTACCATGAACAAAATTAAATTACAAACACATATAAATAAATATTTGTAACATATATGGGAGCATAAAGATGGATGCTCTTATTTTATAAAAAACACTTGAATTCAACAAAAAGGACAAACACTTCCATAGAAAAATGTGCAAAGGACAAGTATGAACATTTAACAAAAGAAAAGAAAATAATACAAATGAGCTATTAATGTATGGAGTAGCGTGCAACTTCCCTAACAATTAAATAAACTCAATGAGATACCAACAATGAGATACCATGTTTTGCTCATCCCGTTGGTAAAGATACAGCATAAACCATGGCTCCAGCTTTGGTGTGGAATAGTTGTTTAGAAATAAACAACTGCTTAACTGCGGGTGGAGGGAAATATATACCCAGCCTGTCTTGATGGACGTTAGAAATTTACCAAAAGCCCTAAAAAGGTCCACGCCTTTGACTCAGTACTTTGATTTCCAGAAATTGACTCCAACAGCAACAATGGGCCCATGGATCACGTATGGGGAAGGAGATCTAGGAATGCCCCACCAGAGAAATAGTAAACTATTGTATATGTATTTACATATAATCACAAACATTTAATGACACGGGAAACACCCATGATATATTTTTAAGTGAACAATGAAGGTTTCTGGCAGAGGTGCTGTACAATTCCCTTTAGAAGAAGAAGAGGAGGAACTTTGTAATAATTGATTTGATTGAGGTATTTTTACGTTCTACAAGATTCACTACTTTAAAGTGTACAATGATTTTTACTAAATTTACTGAGTTCAATGACCATAAGCACAATCCTGTTTTAGAACCTTCTCACCACCCCATAAGATTCCCCATGCCCATTTACAGTGAATTATAGTTTTCACTCCCGCTCCCAGGCAACCACTAATTTACTTTCTGTCACTAGAGATTGTCTTTTCTGAACATTTCATACAAATGGAAGGAATCATGTAATAGGTGGTCTTTTGCATCTGGTTTTTTGCATTTAGTGTGCTTTTGCGGTTCATACACATTAGTATCATGTATCAGTACTTTATTCCTCTTTATTGCTAAATAATATTTTGTATAGACCTACCACATTTTATTTATCCATCAACCGGTTGATGGGTATTTGGATTGTTTTCATTGCTTTGAAAATTCTTAAATTTTCAAAGTCATGTAAGAAGCTTGAAAGTCTGTCCTAACAACCAGTGAAAGCTGAACAAACTGAAAAATCAACAGCTCTTCTTAGATCTGTAAGAGAAGTCAGGTCACAGGGCAAACCACTGCCCTCAGAATTGGAGAGATAGGTAAATAGAGAGAATTACAACTTATTGGAGCAGAAACCTCCATGGGAATCCGTGTGCAGGTAGGAAAACTGAAAGTGTAATTGACAAGTTGCTGGAGGCTCAGTATGGGTAAGTCTGAGACAAAAACCTCAGGGGAGGCCTTCGCTGGGTCCCCACGCTTTTGTGAGTTTTACTCTTGGGGTTCTACCAGGTTCTTAAGTGAATATTGGAGAAAAATCCCCATGTGCTTCTGGCAGTGGAAGTGGGGAAGGGGAAAAGGAATCATTTTGAAATATGCCAGAGCATCCTGTTCTTTTTAACAAGGTTTATCCTCAGGGGGAACTAGTTAGCCAGAGCCTAAGCTGCTGGGGTGTAATAAGACAAATTGACCTGGTCGAAGGGAAATACCCAACTGCAGCCCACCCTAGCCATCCTATCCCATTTACACATGTGTGTTGCGGGGGAGAAGCACTTGTGAAGTTCACAGCCCAGGGGCACAAACTCACTGAAAGACTAAAAGGTAATCATAGCACTATAGAATGCTTTCCCCTGTCCCCACACCTTACCACTACATCACTAAAGGCCTTATTTTCAGCAGTTCCTTTTACCCTTTCACCAGTACATCATGTCCAGCTATCAAGAAAAAATTACAGGGCATACTTAAAGGCATAAAAACCATAGTTTGAAGAGACAGAGCAAGCATTAGAACCAGATTCAGATATAGCGGGGAATTTAGAATTATCAGACCAGAAATTCAAAACAACTATGATTAATATGCTAACGGCTCTAATGGATAAAAAGGACAGCATGCAAGAACAGATAGGCAAAGAGATGGGGATTCTAAGAAAAAAAAAAAAAGAAATATTACAGATAAATAAACAAAACACAACACTGTAACAGAAGTGAAGACTGCCTGTGATGGGCTTATAAATGGATTGAACGCAGCTGAGAAGAGAGTGTCTGAGCTTGAGGGTATCTCAATAGAAACCTCCAAAACTGAAAAGCAACAGAAGAAAGACTGGGAGAAGAAAACAGAATATCCAAAAACTGTGGCGGTCAAGATGTCTAATGGAAATGCAAGAAGGAGAAGGAAGAGAGAAATGATCAGGAGAAATATGTCTTTCCTTAAATTAATGTCAGACACCAAACCACGGATCTAGGACTCTTAGAGAACACCAAGCACCAAACAGGAAATATGCCCCCAAAATGACACTGAGGCACATCATTTCCAAACAAGAGAAAATCAAAGATCAAGAAAAAAATCCCGACAGAAGCCAGAGGAAAAATACATCTTATCTACAGAGAAAAAGATAAGAATTATATCTGACTTCTTTTCAAAGACCATGCAAGCAAGAAGAGGGTGAAGTGAAATATACAAAGTATTGAGAGAAAATAAACACCAATCTATAATTCTGTATCCTGAGAAATTATCCTTCAAAAGTGGAGAGAAATAAAGACTTTCTCTGACAAACAAAAATCAATGAAATTTGTTGCCAGTAGATCTGCCGTACAAAAGATGTTCTTTAGAGAGAAGGAAAATAATATAGGTCAGAAACGTCAATCTACATACAAGAAGAACACTGAAGAAGGAATAAGTGAA